CTCAGCAAGTCTTAGCTCTTAACTAAGTTGACATTCAGCTGTAGCACAAACTCTAATTGGTCTTAATAATAAAAACCCGGAGCCAGATATCAGGGTAAATGCTGAAAGGTCAGAGAGACAAAAAAGCAAGCCACAGCCACCACCTCTTACCTTGCCAACTGCTCAGTAATAAGCCTGAGCCATTGACCAAACATTTATAATTAATGTAAGCCTCTGAGTGACTATTTAAAACTGGCTGTTGGACAGGGTGGGACGGAGAAACCTCTAATTATATTCAGCCCTCATAAATTCACAGGAATTTTCACATGTGTTCCCATCAGCTACTGAGCTTGTTGTTTTCTATTTCACATATACCAACACAAGCTCTGTTTCTCAGTATTTACATTTTTTTTCTTATTGATGCCCCAATTCTCCAGTCAATCTAAGGGAAGACATTAATATACCGATTTTTAATTTTTTGTTATTATAAGGAAAATAAAGATGATTGACTTCTGAGTTTCTTACATTTTGAAATTAAGATAACGATCTTCTAGTTTTTCTCTAGAGTCAACTTTGGTAAATTATATACCAGATATACCTCGCCTAGATATTTTCACAATTTCATGAATCCCAACCATCAGCTATTAACATTTCCTGAGCAAAGGAGTCCTATTCAGGAAGCACTCCTCTGTGTCTATATGTATCTTTATTAAATATACTCTTTCAAATATTTACAGTGCTCAGGTGAGACTAGTTGGGGTAAGTTGGGATGGGCATTTCACAGTTAGATGTTCAATTCATGTAGTCAGGGTACCCAGTATGACAACTCACAGAGTAGAATATGACACTCAGGAGAAACCATGATTACTGGATAAGCCCACTAGGCAAATTTGGTACTAGCCAGTTAGAACTAATTTGTTAAAAAAAAAAAAAAAAAAAAAAAAAGGACAGCTCTACGTGCATGGGTTTTTTATGTGGGTCCTGTATTTGTTTCACTGATCAGTTGTAGATCTCTTTCACTCCCTTGGTACGTTTTTCTGCCATGATGTTATTGAATACAATGTTTATCTCTTCATGCTGAACTTCTATTAATTCTATACTTATGACTCATAACTTTGGTCTCATAATGATAACACATAAAACTGTACATTCCTTTCAGATTGTTTTATTATTTCTAAGGTGATATCTAAATGTTGTAGTGCATCTGTCTTTTCATTCATCCTTGATATATTTTTCCACCAGAACCATTCTATTAGTGGGGTTTTCTACTGGTGTTTTAATTTGATTTACTGAACTTTTATTTCTAAAATTTCAATTTAACTTTTCAGTATTTCTGTCTCATTTTTCAAATTCCCATTTCACATACTGTTTTGAATTTCTGTTGAATTCAGATGCTTTTTTTTTCTATTCTTTTTGAATGAAGGTAGAAGTTTGTATGCATCTTCTTTGTCTTAAACCAACATTTTTATCATTCTTTTATAATTTTTTTCTGGGTTTTTCCAAATTCATTCTTTTTAGGACTCATTGCTGTAGAAGCAGTATTTTTCAGGGAATAAACAAACTACCTTCATGTTTCTGATATTTATTATTATATTAGGATTTACAGATATGGTATTGTTTCATCTTGGAGTTTTTATTAAATATGCTCTTTCAAATATTTACAGTGCTCAAGTGGGACTAGTTGGAGTATGTTGGGATGTGCATTTCACAGTTAGGTATTCAGTCCATGTGCTGAAGGTACCCAATATGACAACTCACAGAGTAGAATATGACACTCAGGAGAAACCACAATTACTGGATAAGCCCATTAGGCAAGTTTGGTACTAGCCAGTTAAAACCATTTTCCTTGCCAATGAGATATCAATGGGTAAAGGTATTTATTACCAGGTTTTATGGCCTGAGCTTAATATCTGTGACCCATTAGATGGAAGCAGAAAACTGATTCACAGAAGTTTTTCATTTCCACATACATGCCTCAGCACATGCACATGAATTTGCATACACACAAATAAACATAATAAAAACTTTTAAAAGCACACTGTATAATTATTGGAGGATAATTGAATAAAGATAATCTGATATTAATTTAATTATTAATATTAGAGGTGGAAAGGACGTAATATGGGCAAAGGTTGGAATTAATATTTGTTATACAAAAATCAAGATGGAAAAGTAGATAAGGAAGGAAAGTTGATATACTGTTAGGGTCCACAAAATTTAGAAATTGTTAAAACTGTGAAAGGTTATTGATAGGAATAATAAAATGAATGGTAAAACATGTTGGTGGGTATAGTAGTATCAAGATTTTTATTTGGAGATAATCAACTACTTTCTCACTAGATTTAAGGACCACTGAATAGAAGAAACTCATAACTGCTACTATATGACCAAGAACAAATGACTGAGAAGCTACTAGATCCTAGGGCTAACTCTATTACTATTATTTTGCTTATTGGGCATATTATCAAACTTTCATATGAGTTTATATTGTTCTACCCACAGATTAGCACTGCTTTCAGACCCCATTGGGGAACCTCCTTGTGCCATGGATGGTGATTATTATAGTATGGTGGTTTGAAAGAAAATGGTCCCCAAAAGGAGTAGCACTTTTAGGAGGTGTGGCCTTGTTGTAATAGTTGTGGTCTTGCTGGAAGAAGTATATTGCTGGGAGAGGGGCTTTGAGGTCTCTTTTGTTCAAGCTTCCCTCGGTGTGACATCCATATGCTTTTTGCCTGCATGATATGGGAGTCTCAGCTAATTCTCCAGCCCCATGTCTGCCTATATGTTTCCATGTCCCACCATGATGATAATGGACTAAACCTCTGAACTGTAAGAGAGCCATCCCAATCAAATGTTTTCCTGTATAAGAGTTGCCATGGCCATGGTGTCTCTTCACAGCAATAGAAACTCTAAGATATATAGAAGCCCACACTAGCACAATTGCTGAGAATACAAGTCATTGGAATGCCCAGCCATATCACACCTCTTCCCAAAGCTCAGGCACCACTGAGGATGAGGGAGTGTAAAGATGGTATGAACCAGAGATTATGCAGGATCAAAGCAAAACAGGGTCTTTTGGACAAGAAAAGACCCCTGCACTCATTAAATCATGATACAAGACCAGCACAAAATCACAAGGCAGTCAACATTTTTTTTTAGACAGAATCTCTATATATATCCTTGGCTCTCCTGGAATTCACTATATATACCAGACTTGCCTTAAACTCACTGAACTTCTCTTTCTCCTGAGTGCTGGGATTAAAGACATACATCACCACATCCTGCTAGTCAACATTCTAGTATGGAGGGGGAAGGAAGGATCATGAGCCTCTACCCACCCCTAACTGAGGAGCTGTGAATATATAGTTGATGGCTTCTGGAGGACAGTTTTCTTTTAAGTTTATGGTCCCTGGAAGTTCAAGCAGGAGCCAGTGGGTGGCTCCACATGCAGAAGTATGTGTGAGTAGCACAAATTGGACACAACAGGTTATTTAAAAGGAGAAGATACAAAGTTACAATATTTGGAGGGTGGGGAAGTAGGGGTAGATTCGGGAGGATTTGACTTTGGAGGAGAGTGGTAAATTTGATCAAAATATATTGCATAGCATTTTCAAAGGATTAATACAAGTATTTTTAAATAGTGAAAGTGAAAGAAATGGGTTAGAGACAAAGAGGGAAAGAGGCAGGAATAAGGGGGAAACTGGGAGTTATGCATAGAAACAGTAAGAGTGAGTGTGCAATGTCAGTCTACTTAAAGAGATATAGGGAATAATCATAAATTCCAAGTGTATATAAACTAAAGACCATTACAAGATATTTATGCAAGAATGAAGACTAATAAAATCATTAAAATGTTTTAGTTAGCAGAAAAAGTTATCAACCACCAGAAAGACAATATTTGATAAAGCACATTACATTTAAATAACAGACTCATTCAGTCAATGTTTTTTTTTTTTCCTTGATGGGATGGATTTTGAATTCTTTCCCTCCCTGTAACGTTTCACGTAGCAAAGTGTGCTGATAGGAGAGATGCAATTTGCAATTCTAGCTCAAAACTATAAAATCATATTTGGGTATGGACTGGCCCTGTGAAATATAAACCAAGTACCTTTTGGATTGAGTCTCTCACACAGCTGGGCAGAGCTGAGCTTTGTAGTACAGTTCCGTCTTGATTTTCTCTTGGTTTCAGTGTCGTGTCAGGGAGGAAAGGTTTGTGCTTCTGCTGACCTCAGTGCTGTGGTGCCAGGGAGACTATCTTTGTATTACAGTGGCTCACTTGGATTCCATAATCAAGGCTTTACTCCAGCCTCCGTGCCCCGGATGTATTGAGAATCCTTGGTCCTATATGCTCCTAGCTCCATAGCAACTTTCCTCTTTGGTTTTCCAAGGCAGTAATAGTATGGGGATGGGGTGTGGTTGTAAGTTACTTTCCTATTGCTGTGGTAAGACACTATGACCAAAGCAATTTGTAGAAAAAATATTTATTGGGGCCTTAAAGGTTCAAGTCCATGACCATCAGGGAGCACTTATTGCAGCAGGCAAGAAGGGCATGGCACTGGGGCAGCAGCTGAGAGCTTACAATGAGGCAGAGAGAGCTGACTGGGAATGGTGCAGGTGTTTGGCACCTCAAAGCCCAGTTCCAGCATGACTGCCTCTTTGTTTCAGCTTCTTCAGTTTCTGGGCCTCATTAGTGACTAGTTCTTGTCATCTATCCTTTGACGTGGAGGTGCTTTGGCTGGCTCTTTAATGCCTTCTTTAATTTTTAATGGGAATATTTCAAGAACTTATTTTCATTTGAGCATTATTTTAGCTGGAGAATTATATGACTCAGTGCATAGTATTCTAATTAAACAATTGCACAATTTCGTTTCTTTATTTTCTCATTTAGATTGTGACATTGAAAAGTATTTTGAATCTGTTTGATACTTAATTTTCTCTGCCCTCTCTTTCTCTGTCTACCCTCCAACTTCCTTCATTTAGTTTACTCATGTGTTATATACAACCTGGGGATAGATGCTAAGAACTGCTTCCTCAGACAATTTTATTATTAGACAACCACAGAGAGTGCTCACAGAGCTGTAGATGATGTTCTTTCCCTTTCCCTTCCTTTCTTCTGTATTTCCATTTCCTTCAGATGGTATCTTGCTTGATATTCCAGTTGATCTTGGAACATACTCTATATCACAGGCAGACACTGAACTTGTGATTTTTCCACATAAGATTCCAGGGTTCTGGGAATAGAGTAAACCCAACATATCTGTCACTTTGTTTCTTGAGCTACATTAAATGGATTTTTTTTTCTTGCAATGAAGTGATATCTATTATGTTCTAGAATGCTTAGCTCAAACAGCGGTAAGACTTGCATCCCACTCTTATACCTACTCAAGTTGAGTAAGGATGGTATTGAGCCCTAAAGTATCAATAAAGAATGATAGCTATTCAGCTTTAACCATCAACTTGATACAGCCTAGAGTCACCTAAAAAGGACATCCAAACTGAAGGGTTTTCTGGATCATATTGGGCTTTGAGCACATCTTTGGGAGATTTTTAGTTGATGTAGGATACCCCAGCTCAGGGTGGATAGCACCATTCCCTAGGCAGGAGATCATTCTCTGCACATGACTACTATCAAGGAAGAAACAAGCATTCCCTTACAGTATCTGCTTTAAGTCCCTCTGTGGGTTTCTGGCCTGACTTCCCTCAACAAAAGACCGTAACCTGGGAGTATAAGCCAGATGTCTCCTCCCAAGATGCTTCTCATCAGAGTATTTTATCACAGCAAGAGAAAGAAAAGCAGAACAGATGCTAGTGAGCCTTAAACAATAGCTTTTGCATTATTATAGGATATTAAAGTGACATAAAAACTTTTTGGCAAAAATAAATGAACATGACCTCAGACATCTATTATTTACATTCTCATAAACTGATCTGTGGTTACATAAGCATTTGAATCTCATAATGATGCTGGCATGAAATACCCGTTTACTTTCCCAGATAGCCCTGATAATTTAAATTTTTAATTGATTTCAGTTCAGCTTAAGTATGCAAAATTAAGAAGCCAAAACTATACAATGGAAAAAAGAAAGTATCTTCAACAAATGGTGCTGGCATAACTGGATGTCAATATATAAAAGATTACAAATAGATGCATATCTGTCACCATGCACAAAACTCAAGTCCAAGTGGATCAAAGACCTGAACATAAATCCAGTTACACTAAACTTAATAGAAGAGAAAGTAGGAAGTACTCTTGAACACATTGGCACCGGAGACCACTTCCTAAATATAACACCAACAGCACAGACACTGAGTACAACAATAAATAAATGGGACCTCTTGAAACTGAGAAGCTTTTGCAGGGCAAAAGACACGATCAATAAGACAAAAAGACAGCCTACAGAATGGGAAAAGACCTTCACCAACCCCACATCTGACAGAGGACTGATCTTCACAGTATATAAAGAACTCAAGAAACTAGACATCAAAATACTGAACAATGCAATTAAAAATGGGCTAAAGAGCTAAACAAAGAATTCACAAAACAAGAATCACAAATGGCTGAAAGACATTTAAAGAAATGCTCAACATCCTTAATCATCAGAGAAATGCAAATCAAAACAACTCTGAGATACCAACTTACACCTATCAGAATGATCAAAAACAGGAATGACAGTCAATGTTGGAAAGGATGTGGAGCAAAGGGAACACTCCTCCACTGTTGGTGGGAATGCAAGCTTGTACAACCACTGTGGAAATCAGTATGGCGGTTTCTCAGAAAATTAGGAATCGAACTACCTCAAGACCCAGCCATAACACTCTTGGGCATATACCCAAGGAATGAGCAATAATGCCACAAAGATACATGTTCAACTATGTTCATAGCAGCACTATTTGTAATAGCCAGAACCTGGAAACAACCTAGATGACCGTCAACTGAGGAATGGATTAAGAAAATATGGTACATATACACAATGGAGTACTACTCAGCAGAAAAAAAAACAATGACAGCATGAAATTTTTAGGCAAACTAGAAAAAAATCATCCTGACTGAGGTAACCCAAACCCAGAAGGACAAACGTAGTATGTACTCACTCATAAGTGGATTCTAGATATAAAGCAAAGAACAATCAGACTGCAAACCACAGAACCATGGAGGCTATATATATAGCATGGGGGACCCTAGGATGACTGTGGCTTATAATAAGTTTTGGTTTTACTTAATTACTGAGAAAGCCTCAATGAAACATTTCATTATTAAGAATATATACTGTACCAAGCTGATAATATAAAAATTAATTAATTAATTTAAAAGAGTATGCATGGTGGTTTGAATGAGAACTGTTCCCCCATAGGTTTAGGCATTTTAACAGCTGCTTCCAGTTGGTGGAACTGTTTGGGGAGCATTTGGAGGTGTGGCCTTTCCGGAGGAAGTACATCACTGGGGGCAGGATTTGAGTACATATCACTTCACAGTACTTACAGTTCATTCTCCCCCTGCTTCTTGTCTGTGGTTGAGATGTGAGCTTTTACCTTCCTTTTCCAGCTACCATGCCTGCCACTTGTTACTATGCCTCCGCATCATGATGGACTCTTATTCCTCTGGAAATGTATAAAAAAAGTTGACTTTCTTCCACAAATAACTGTTGGGCACAATGTTTTATCACGGGGTGGGGGAGGATATTTTATGTTAGTTACTTAGGAAGTAATTAAGACAGTATGCTTTCTTAAAAAAAAAAAGCTATCCACTATTTTCTACTATTCTATGATCCATTATAGTTTTATCTTTTCTGTTTTCTTCTGTGTTTCTGATAGTAGTTAGACACTTAGAAGACCTTGTGGCAGGTTTCTAGCATATTCAGTAAATAATTCTTTAATATATAGAAAAGCAGCTGAAAAATCTCAGATGGAATGACTTTAGGGCTTAATGTATAGATTTCTTTTATTCAATCTTATTTTATCAAACATTTAGCAAGCCTCTCCTATGCTGTACAAACAATAAAAAACAAATCAACACATCAATTTTACATATATCAGTTCTCACAATTTTCCAATAAGCCTTAAGAAAGCAGGCATATGGCTGATTTTATTGATTAGTAGACAGAAATAATTATTGTTATGAAGGAACTGACACCAAATTACAGAAATAGATAATGACAGCATTGAGCCTTGAGCACAGGTCTCTGACTAAATCCTTTATAATTTCAAATGCATCAAGTTATTTCCAAGTGTGTGTCTGCCTATATGTAAAATAATGTCACCCTGTATTCTACACCTTAGTCCTCCAAGCTACACACAAGCTGGTGAAAATCAGTCTGCCCATGCTCGGTGGAATTAGGCAAGGAGAAGCGGTGTATTGACACAATGCAAGTAGAAAAGAAACAGAAATTAAAAGATGGTGCTGAATTCACACTGAAAAAAAGGAAGCAAAAGTATCCAAAGCAAAATGCAAAGAAACAAGTCTTTGGATTATTGTGAATTAATTTCACACACAGTAGAAAGTCTCTTAAGCCCTTATATGCTTTAATCAGTACCAGGGAGGGTATTCTTTAATTCCTCATTCAACAAATATTTAGTAAGCATGAAACCTGTGTTGACAAAGGTTATTAACTTTCAATGTTTGTTGGCATGTTATATACATATAATTATCTGTCTATGAATATATTAGGTTGCAGCCTTGTTTAAAAGAACAGTGTTGTATTTCTTTTTAATGGGAGACGCTGTTCATAGTAGGAATCAGACTAGTGTTGGCTTATGCTACCTTCATCATTTTTGCTTCCTAGGATTCCCCAATTATTTGTTATTACATCTATCTAATAGGTTACAGGGAAATATTAGACTGGGGATGTAGCTCAGATGTGGAAGGACACTTAATAGACTTGTGAGGGGACCCTGGGATTCATCTTTAGCATTACCTCTCCAACCTTTTCCAGTGCCTGGCCTACATCATTTTCTGACATTAATTTAATTAAGTTAATAGATGTAGAAAGACATTATGCTCACTATGAGTGGCACCATTCCCTAGGCATGGAGTCTTGTACTGTGAATGAATGGAGAAACAGAGTTAAGGACAAGAAAGCAAGTCAATAAGCATGCATGCATTATATTGTGTCTGTTCTTTACTGTGCATGTGATATAAGTAGCTGTTTGAAGTTCTCCTCTTGACTTCACCCAATGCTGGACTACAACCTGGGATTGCAAGCTGAAATATAATCTTACACACATAAGATGCATTAAGTCAAAGTATTTTATTATAGCTAAAGGAGTGAATTTGGCCAGTTACCTTTAAATTTACTTCTATGTCTTATCTTTGTAATAATGCTATCATTTTTCACATTAAGCTTCTTATATTTAAGTAAAATGTGTGATATTTATTTCCTTGTTGAACTAAAATTGTTCCACTCATTTTCTGCTGATTCTGTAGAGCCTCAGGTAACTCAGGGTAGCTACCTGGCAATATCCTGGCCTTCAATTCTGTGCTGGTAAAGAAGCCACTGTCATTACCACCACTGTCACCATAATCTGCAGTGTCACCATCATCTTCAACGTCATGAAAAGCTACAGAAACTGGATATGTTTATGTAACCAAGATTAATCTTTTTAAAGTAATTTTGAGCTATCGAACTTACATGTCCAAGATTCCTGTGCCAATCCAACTGCTTAGTTTTTAGTGACAGTGTAAAAATTACCTCTAGTTTCACCATTAGATTAATGTATATAATTATTTATGAAACAAAAGAAAAGCAAAGCCCTACACCCCAGTCTTCACCAAAAATTTGGCCTAAAGTCTACAAAATCTACCAGCAGTGATGGGGAGAGGGGGGTCATTCAGTGGAGACCTGTAGAGAGTTCCCAGGTTCTTACATCATAGAATAAGAAACTGGACAGAGACATGTGGATGGTGGCAACCAAAGTTGGAGGATAGTTTACATATTTTTTTTTGAGTTTGTAATGGCTTTTTCAGAATTCCATACAATGTAGTTTGATCATATTTACCTCTCCTCTGCTCAACTCCTCCCATGTCCACACCCTTTCCCTACCCAATCATCGTTGTATCAACTTCTTCAATTATAAGACCCATCAACTCCTTTTTTGTGCTGCCCATATACTTTTTGCTGTGTGGTCTTCCACAGGAAAATGGTTGACCCACCAGTGGCCACACTCTTACAGAATACAATTTCTCCCAGCAACTATCAACTTCCAATAGCTACTGAGCTAGCGATAGGCTTTCCTA